TAATCTTAAAGTATTTAATTCATATAATTCATATAATGTGAATGTTTTATATTAATTAATTAAATAATTGACATCATATATATCATATATATTATACGAATCTAATTTTCAGACTTCTAGGTGTATATATATATACAGATGCAATACGAGCAGTTTATTATATTTCTAATATTTCTATCTCCTATAAGACAGAAATAACTCAGAATATTATATCATACATATTACATTGTGTATGTTGAATTATTTGATACGTAATTTTATTGTATACATATACAGGGTGTCCGACAATTAGTGTAAAATCTCTCGTAGGCAGGTAGAAGGAGTAAAACTGAGTCGAAAAGTCCTCAACCATTTTTTTCTATTACATATAATAAAGAAGTAATTATTGAATATATAAAGCCAATCAGCGCCGACCTTTAGCCGGGCGCACGTCAGTGAGCCGCACGGAGCGCTCACGCACATCAGGCGCGTGGTTCACTGACGTGCGTTTGGCTAAAAATCGGCGCTGAAAGAGAGAAAAAGAGAGAGAGAGAGAGATTGACTTACTTTCATTCAATAATTACTCCTTTATTATATGTAATAGAAATGATATAATATGTAATAGAAAAAAATGGTTCAGGACTTTTTGACTCAGAATAACTCCTTCTACCTACCTACGAGAGATTTTACACTAATTGTCGGACACCCTGTATACCCTAACAGCACAGATATATTCTGAGTACATACTGAGTAATTCGCAGTCAGTATATTGTGATCATCTCAGTATATTCTCATACGTACTGCTATCAACTGAGTACGTACTACGATCGTACCTATGTCCGCGGCACTATCTACTGTAGAATTTCGCCGCGAATGTTCGCAGGGGTATGGAAACAGTTTGAAAACAGTACATACCCAGAAGCGCGTGCGCTCACGTATTGAAATAGGATAGGTTAGGTTAGGGTTAGGTTAATAATTTGTTGAATACGTTTATAGAATTTTATATACATTTTTTATTACTATATGTATTTTTATAACTTAATATATATTTTTATAATCACATATATATTTTTGTTAACTTATAATATATATTTTTTTAATCACATATATATTTTCATAATTTATAATATATAATTTTTATAATCACAAATCAAATGTTTTCAATCACATTTTTAATTCAGAAGAATACTTTATAAGTATAGTAATATTTAATAAGTTTAGTAATTAGTTGTATAGTTCAACTATTTTTATACGTTAAGAATAAAATTAATTAGTCGGATGTGATAAAATATATCTGTAAACGTCGACACGTTAAAGATTGATAAAAAAGAAATTAAGTGCTCTGAAGCTAATACGACATTCTTCGCAGAAAAAAATAAAATTTCTATATTTTACATGTATGTTTTACTGAGTAAAAATAAATAAAATAACTTTAGTAAATGCTTCTACTGTAACATATATGTATTTCATTGCAACGCAATTTGCTACCTTTTTCTTATGTAATGATCTTTATCAAAAGATAATTAGTTCAAATACATAACAATCACTGTGATCATGCAAACCTAATCTTAGTACCAAAAAATCCTTGGAGAGCGGATTGTTACAGAAGGGAATCATTGTTTCCCTTCTGTATTTTGATCTTCTCTCCTTTTCTTTTCTTCCTCTCGATAGATGCGTTCCCGGGCATGTGCCAACCATATTTTAATTGTAGNAGACATCTGCTCTTGGTGGCTCGATAACCGAATACAAACAGCTTTGAGTATATCACATTGCTTTTGCCATTTCCATTAGGATCTAATATCGACGAGAAACTCTGAGAAATAAAAGAGATAATACCGACTCAATAT